GGTTTCGACCGCGAATGGAAATCTAAGCGCGGTAGCACTGGGTATTGTAACAGCTGTCCCTCTCAGCACAGCTTCAATAACCATCAATGAAGCTCAAAATGACATGCAAAGGTGAGAGACTCTGAACCCGATACTTTAGATCCAAAATCCCATATTGGCTTTTTACCATGGGGTTTTAACATGACAACCACCGTTTAAAACAATGAGTTCAGTTCTCTCTATTCAGGCCCTGAACCCTGAGCCCATCAACAACAGTGACCCGTCAGTTCTCCCTATTCAGACCGCTACAGAACCCTGGCACAAGCAGACGACGCCTCGCCCCTGACTTGGGGGGGGGGGTGGGGCAACGGCGGCATGGTTTAGGGCTTAGGGTAAGTATGTATAGGTGACCTACAGTATGGGTCATGATATATGGAGGTTTCCCTAAATTACTGTTCCCAAAATGGGGGAAATGTATATAGGGCCCCGTATTATAATAGGAACCCAAATATAGGACCCCGTATTGACAGTAATTTAGGACAATCCCCATATGTATTTTGTGGCGATCTTGGAAATGTGTCCTGACTGTTTTCTACATTTCGACAAGCCCGAGAACCGACCTCAAGCTACAGATTTAGATAATTACCGACTAGGCATGGCTGTTGATGGGCATGTAAAGGAGACATCTTTTTTCCTTGCGAATAGCCGCTCACCCGGACCAGAATCCAGCATGCAAGACCATGCACGGCTGCTCAAGCATTCACCGCTGGTCATCGTGGCAGCAGCTGACACTCAGAAAATACTGCACCTCCATGACGCTGGCAGAAAAAAAATAAAGAGAACGTAGTAGGCTGGAAACACTGAGGTCATGCAGGAGATGCCCTGCCCAAACGGCCCACAGGATCCAAAAACAACATTCTTCCAATAATTCCCCAGTTTCCCTCATCTGGGTGGTTGTCAACATTAAGGTGGTACCTATAATAGTACGGCACCTAATATTTAGGGTACCCAGAAACGGACCACAATTTTGACAACCACCCATGTAGTAATGAGCTCAGCTTCAGGCCCTAAACCCTAAATCCTAAACCCTAAAACCTAAAACCCTAAACCCTAAACCCTGAACCCTGAACCCTAAACTGTTGGATCTTCTCTTGGGCCTGGCTATCAACGATAGCTCACCGCATGAACGCAAGGTAGACGACCAGCCTGAGTTGCTGTTAAGAAACTTAAACTAAGTTGCCATAATATGGGTTTAGGGTTTAGGGTTTAGGGCTTAGGGCTTAAGGTTTAGGGTTTAGGGCTACTATACACACAGAGAAACCCTGTTATTCACTACATACCCATAATCTGGCAACTTAACTTAGCCCTAGACCCTAAACCCTAAACCCGAAACCCTTAACCCTAAACCCTTAACCCTAAACCCTAAACCCTAAAGCCAACCCAGCAGCAAGGTGAGAAGAGCCCTGGCGATCAGGAGCTGGGGGCTTCCCCGGCAGCCTCGGCAGTTACTTGGGGGTTTTGGGTTTAGGGTTTAGGGTTTAGGGTTTAAGGTACCATTTTGGGGGTCCCTATAATAAGGACTATAGTATTTTGGGGTCTGTATTGGGGTCCCCCTATTTTGGGAAACTACCATTTAGGGTTCAGGGTTTCGGGTTCAGGGTTTAGGGTTCAGGTTTCAGGGTTCAGATTGAATTGGGTATATAAAGATATATAAGGTTGATAAGATGGTTTTGGCACCCCCCCAGCCCCCAAATTAGGACCTTCTTGTAGCCCTGTGATATTTACCGGTCATAATTTGGGGTTTGGGGTTAGTTCATGCCCAGTGGCTTAAAGTCTTGGACGAGTATCACGTAGCAGTGCGCAAAGGAATTCAAAACCCAAAAACAAGAAAAAAAAGGTGGCCCAACCCTGCACGCCAAACCCTCAACCCCAAACTGAGGCCTTAATACCAAACCCCAACCCAAAACCGTCTTGTATTCAGTGGAGCTACTTAACTCCTAGAGTCCCCCTTACTTGCTAGCCCCTATAATCCTCCACTATCTTCTATATAACCATTTTGAAGGAGTTTAAACTATAGCTCCTTTAGCCCTATACCCTAAACCCTAAAACCTGAGCCCTAAAACTCTCAACCTTAAACCCTAAAATCCTAAAACCCTAAACCCTAAAACCCTAAAACCCTAAAACCCTAAGCCCTAAAAACCTAAAACCCTAAAACCTAAACCCCAAAGAAGCCAAAGCCCAGCAGCTCAAGGAGCTCTGGGCTGCTTGCGCTCCCGCGAGCCGGGGAGTGTCCCGCGGAATACCTACGGTTTAGGGTTTAGGGTTTCGGTAGAGAATGAATTGGATTTTGGGTTTAGGATTTAGGATTTAGAATCTAGGATTTAGATTTTAGGGTGTAGGATCTGGGATGTAGGGTTTAGGGTTTCAGGGCTTAAGATTTCGGATATTGCGGGATGCGCTATTTGGGCGTCTGCCGCATTAGCGGTACCCATTCTGAGGTGGCCCCATAACAACTAGCATATGTTGGGGGTCTTGTATGGCAACGACCGCTCAAAACAACATGAAGTAGATCAGGCCCCTACCCACACATACTGGGTTGTGTTTTGAGGAACTTTTCTTCAAATACAAGAGTAAGGAACACCCATTATTTTCTACATACCCAAAATATGGTAACCCTGAACCCTAAACTCTTAAACGTTTAATCCCTGAAACTCTACACCCAAAATCCTATAAGCTCTTAAACCCTGAAACTCCTTAGACCAGGCCCAGAGCGAAAGGGCTCCCTTCTTGATCTAAACTAATGCTACACACGATTTGGGGTGTAGGATTCTGTTGTGTTGCAAGTGCAATTACCTGTTCCCCTAGGTTAGGTCCTGAAGTATAGTTATTAGAATTTAGGGTGTAGGGCTCTAGCCCTACACCCACTTATAACTGACCAACAAGAAAGCTTAGTCAATGATGGCCCAGATGCCCTGCGAGCTGTAGGCATCTTTCCAAGTAGCTTTCCAGACTGCCTCCACCCTCTCAATGAAGGCCTTGGACTAAGTAGTTTGGGATCCTATACAAAACTACTCTTCCATTAATTCCCCCTCCCCAAAGTTTGTTTCAAATCAAGCCCAGTTAGGGCCGTTGGCGGCCTGTTTGTGCTCATTTAGAGGAAGGGGCAGTAAAGGGGGGGCAGTATACGATCCTATGATACGTAGGTATATACATCTCCCCGAAGCATTAAAACACTTTGGAGATAAGTCAGAGAACGCATTGTTGCAAGTACCCATGGTACGAAAGAGTACAAAGGCTTCTGTAACCGTAACTAGAAGGGACTCTCATGGGTCCTCTTCTAGTGGGTTGCCCTACTTTCCAACCTAGGTTCACCCTTAGTCAACTATTGGCCCTAATTATCACTAAGTAACCTGATTTCATGGGAAGGGGGGTGCAGTATAGGGGTGAGTAGGGGAATCCATGGGACTGTTGGGTACAACCTAGTCTTTAGGGTTACGAAGGACTGGAAGAAAGAACCCCTACATTAATTAGTCCCTATACAACCTTCAGCAGTAACCACAAAGCTCCATTCCTGAATTGAATTCCCCATGAACCCAACCCAAAACCCCATACCTCCCAACCCAAAACCCCATACCTAAACCTTCGGCCCTGAAGAATACGATGCTTTCCGCTTCCTCTTCCACTCCTACAGAATTACTGTACCGCGACAATCTCAAGGGGTCAAGGGTTGTACCCCGAGGGTCCTGCCCGAAAAAAGGTTTCCCCAACAAAACAGCCCAAAGAAGGGTACAATCCTAGGGCCTAGGGTAGAAGCATAAATATATGGGTAGTTCCCAAAATTAGGGTCCCATTTTGGTACCCCTAAATGTTAAGTGCCGTAATCTATGTGCCCCAAAAAGCCCATAATTTCGAGAATAACTCATATGATAGTGCAGTAGTCATCTGCACTCCTTATTTCTTCACGAGCCAACCCTAAACCCTAGACACCCAAGCCCGAAACCCCAAATCCTGAAGCGAACGTAAACCTCAAATCCTAAACTCGAAATCCTAACCCTAAACCTAGTTACTAATTCCCATGGGCCTCCAAGTAAACCCTAAACCCTAAACCCTAAACAGACCTCCAGTCTGGCCTCGGGAGTCTCAGTCTGTGAGGGGTAGAGCGGCGCCGAGACAGAGGTCACACAGCCTGGTTTTAGGGTCTAGGGTTTTAGGATTTAGGGCTTAGGATTTAGGGCTTAGGGTTTGGGATTTAGGGTTTAGGATTTAGGGTTTAGGGTTTAGGATTTAAGGTTTAGGTTTGGGATTTAGGGTTTAGGATTTAGGGTTTGGGATTTAGGCTTAGGATTTAGGGTTTACAGTTTGGAGTAGGAATGCAAAAGAACATGGAAACTACTATCATGGGCTAAATAGGGACTACTATACGGATCCATTCCTTCATCCCCAGCTATCCAAAGGCCTGTTTAGGGATGTAACCTGACTCAGGGTCAAAGGTTTAGGCTCTGGAGGCTTGGGTCGGGTCTTAATGGAGAATCAAATGGAAAAGAACATGGAAAATCAATTGGACACCGAGGTTGCTCAAGAATATGGGGATTCAACGGACTTAACGTACGCCACACTCGCTAGGAAACCCGGGTATCTAAAATATATATATATATATACACATGTTGCAGCAGCCTAGTGTAATGATGGGTCCCCCTCCCACCCCTCTACTCTACCCCTCCAAGTTCCCCCCTTCAGTTACCTTGGTTTCCCCATTTATCCCCTGAGTGCCTTCATTGACGGGGAACCTAGGTGCAATGTAGTATAGGTGGGGACGTAGTGAAACTTCAAACACTAACTGGAAGGGTTTAAGGGTAGAAAAGTGTAGTAGGTATGAACAGCAAGACAAACCTTGGGCCCTAAACCCTAAATCCTAAATCCTGAACCCTAAACCCGTAACCCTGAACCCTAAGTCCTACACCCTCAACCCTGAAGCCTAAACCTTAACCCTGAACCCTGAACCCTAAACTAAACCGGGCAGCAGGTTCCGCAGCCAACGTAGCAGGACTTCTCCCCCACCAGCCATTCCTTGGAAGGCGGGAAACCTCTAAAAGGTTAACTTCTGCTCCGTTTGCTCGGTCAGATGTATGTATGTATGTATGTATGTATGTATGTATGTATGTATGTATGTATGTATGTATTTATGGACGGATGGTATTGTATGTCTGGAAATCTTTGAAATGATACCCAGCAATGTCCAAGATTCCTTGTTGGTAGTGATGACCACCTGTATCGGCCAACCTAACCTGGGCTGCCCGTAGGGTTTGGGTTTAGGGTTTAGTACCCAGAATATAAGAAAAACTGACCACAAACATGCAAAGCGGCAGGAAACAGTAAAACCCAAACCCTGAGCTCTTAAACTTTCGACTATCCTGCGAAGCAGCTGGTGCATGGAGACAAGACCACCCGGTTTCAGTGGCAGGCCCTGGGGCTCGAAATTTCGGGTACCCTCCGGGTACAAGACCACCCCCTTCTCCTTGGCTGCTGTTCCTTAACCCGAAAGCCCTGAACCTTAAAAACCCAAAACCCAAAACCCTAAAACCCTAAAACCTTAAACCCTAAAGCCCTAAACCCTAAACACTAACCCTAGGACAATGAATAGAAAGATTTTTCAGGAGGGCTTAGGTTTAACGATCATGGGTGGGAAAAAAGGCTTAGGGTTTAGAGATTCGGGTTTTGGGGATTCCTGATGAAGGCCTAGACCCTAAACTTAAGGTCTGTTCAGGGACGCGGGTTTGGGGGTTAATGGAGAATCACGTGGGCAAGAAAATGCAACATGACCTGGAAACTTTGGACAATTTTAGGGGCTTAGGGTTTAAGGTTATGCAGGTATGTGAGGAGCTAAAGCTAAGTTGTCATCTTAAGGTAGCCATCGTAACTACATATCTATTCCACGGCAACTTAAACTCAACTCCACAACCCTAAACCCGAAAGCCTAACTCCCAACAGCAACCAGTCTCAGAGTAGCCCTTGTGGCTGTTCTCCCAGAACTTGGCCGTCCAGGCGACTGTGCCCTCGGCATGCTTTTTCCTTAGTTGTGCAGGGGACGTTATCTAGGGAGTTATACAGGGTTTAGGGGTGTAGGGTTTAGGGGTTTAGAGTGGAGACTGAAATCCTACATGACCTGAGTATCTGATATGTCTTGGGAATTTCAATGCTATGGTATAGCAGGGTCATGCAGGATTTTTTTATTATCAAGGCTATCTAGATGATTTTGTTGAGGTCGCTCTTTATGTTTATATCCTAAATCCTACACTCTAGACTACACCCTACACAACTACAAGGAATGAATCCAAAACCCCAAGAAGCATATAGGATCCCTAACATTGATCCAGTACGCTCTACACCCACTGGACAGGTGAGTAGCGTTTTGTTGGTGGTTGAACCTGGTAAGAT